GTGAGTCAACCCGCTAACCCATATATATATATATATATATATATATATATATATATATATATATATATATATATATATATAATTTTATTTAAGAATTAATAAAATATAGTTAATATACTTCGTTAAAAACCTTTTTTTTTCAAATATGCTACTTATTAACTTATTATGTTATATTTGTATTTGGTTGTTCATTTCATTATTGTAAAATGTAAAATGCTAACTATTAATTAATTTAAAAATGTCTGCAACTTATATAGAAAAGTTATGCGAAAACAACTCATCACGTGTCTACAACTTTTTTTGACATCCCTGACCCAATCTCATCCTCCATTTCACATTTTACATTTTCACGTGTCCACCGAGAGCCAATAATCTCATTTTCCGAGGATACACAACGAACCCTGGTCTATACATTTTTCCGACCATCAGATCACAACTCTCTACGCATCCAACGGTGACAAACATACCATCTCGGATCTCAAACAAGCATCAAAATCAAAATCATCACTAAATCATGTCATCCTCACTCCTACTCTCACTCTTCTTCTCCTGAAAACTTGAGCCTCACTGGAGGCCGGCTCAAAACCCAACATCACTCGAAAAAGCTCAAAACATTGAGCTAAAAATTTTCACGAAAAATCATGGGATTTACAATGGGTTTGAATCTACTCCTTCTAGTAGCCATGGTTGCCACCAATATCCTCTCCCTCTACCACCTCTCCACCACCATGATCTCCACTAAACCAACCACAAATCTTAACCCTCCTGTTCCTGATCACCTCCTCCGTCAACTTCAGACCATACGCGCCACCATCAACCATCTCACGCGCCTCCAACCTAATCCCTCTGTTCAGACCACCGCCTCCAACATCCCATCTGACCTCCTACTCTATACTCAGCTCTCACCCATTGCATCTGCCTGCCGCCACCACCCTGATCTTCTTCATCAGTACATGAATTACACCCCTTTCTCCGTTTGTCCCCAGCTGTCTTCCGCCGCCGCCGAACCCTTGATCCTTCGTGGGTGCCATCCTCTCCCACGGCGGCGCTGCTTCTCTCCTACTCCTAGTAAACTACCTTCCTCCCTTCCCACAAACCCCTTCTCTCCGGTGCCGGAGAATGCCATTTTGTGGAGCAATTACAAGTGTAAAACCTTCGATTGTCTTAACCCAGATCTGGGTTTTGATTTGAAGAAAGAGAAATTAAAGTTTCTGAGCTACAAAACCGATCTCGATCTCCCGATTTCTCAACTAACCGACATCGTAAAGAAATCAAAAAATGTTCTCCGGATAGCTCTAGACATAGGCGGTGGTACAGGTACATTCGCTGCGCAAATGAAGCAAGAAAATGTGACGGTTATCACGACCACCATGAGCATCGGTGCACCCTATAACGAAGCCGCTGCCCTCCGGGGATTGATCCCGTTACATGTGCCATTGCAGCAGAGGTTACCGGTGTTCGATGGGGTTCTGGATCTGGTGCGGTGTGGCCGCGCCGTGAACAGGTGGATTCCGGCGCAATCATTGGAGTTTCTACTTTATGATGTGGATCGAGTGTTGAGAGGTGGTGGGTATCTTTGGATTGATCATTTTTTTAGTAAAAGTATCGATCTTGATAAGATTTTCAGCCCATTGATCGGAAAATTGGGGTATAAGAAGGTGAAATGGGCAGTGGGGAAGAAGATGGATACAAGTGGTGTGAAGAATGGAGAAGCTTATTTGACTGCTCTTTTACAAAAGCCAGTTTCAAGATGATGATGATATTGCTTCCTTTCTTTTTCGTTCTTCAGGTACCAATTTTGAAATCTATTGTTGTAATATTGTGAAATTGGGGCATATTGGAATTATAATTATATGATATTTGATGCAATTAGGTAAGAATTAAAGAGTAAAAAAGGAAATTAGGAGTTCAAATTCAGGTTTTTCGTGATCTTTTCTAGATAATATGGAACTGGTAACTTGTAATTGAGTCCAAATTTCCTTGTTACAATTTGTAGAGCTTATATCTTAATGATGAACACCAATGTTCTCATGTACCTTTTGTTTTACTATAGATTTGTATCCTTGTTGTGTTTCTTTTTTTGGTAAATATTTTACCAATACTTAGCTTTAGTGTATTCTCTTGTATTTGTGGTCAACAATTAGGATGCAAGTTATGGAAATGATCAATACTGTGTTCAACAATTAGGATGCAAGTTATGGATTCTACAGACTTTACCCAGGCAAGGTCCAGTGCTGTTTTTTGACCAAATCTGCAACACTTGTAGCCTTTAAAGTTTAAACAAGTGTTCCATGGGTTGCTCAGTATGGGTTGTATACGCCATGGAGGTGACCTCCCTCCACGCTGTTGTCCATGCCACAACACCGCCCCAGCTTAACACGTCGTGGCACTTTGTGGAGAATGCAACGCGATGGGGAGAGAAGAATTAACCATTGATTGTCGATTTTTTTTTTTTAAATAATTCATGGTGTGGTGTGTGGTGATCATTTCCTATTAAAAATGGTGTGGTGTGGAGAATGATATGACATGTGGTGTCCACAAAAAAATGATGTGGAAGGTGTGAACCATACCCACCAGCCTTATAACCATTATAAGGTGTCATGGTGAGTTTGGGATTTGGCAAATTCTATAATTAACTAGAGTTTAATAATAATAATAATAATTACGACAAACAAGACCTTAAGGTTCAAGTATGTGGGATATGAACCCCAATCAACTTTTTTTGGGAGTGTTTCATGTCAAGTGATCACCAGTACGCCACCTTGGTGGTGGCTGATTATTTTCCCTAGTTATGTGATCTGATAGGTATTATAGTATGTTATGTTGTATGAACATATTATAATAATCAGTAATTGTGTTTTGTTTTGAACTCTTTCGGCTAGTGACGATCTAAGCAGTTATCGCGGTCAAAAATATAATAGCGGTCACCGCCCGCTATTTGAAATCGCGGTTTTCGTGGCGGTATAGCGGTGATATAGCGTTTTTTATATTATTTAGAATTTATATATATTAGAGTATTAATCAGTGAATCATACTTTAAAGTTCAACCCAATCCAATTGATTAGTTAATCAGTAAATCATAATTCACATATCATATTTAGTTAATCATACTTCACATATCATAATTAGTTAATCATACTTCACAGATCGGTTACCAATGCCCTAGTTAATCATACTTTAATACAATTAACAAAAAAACATATGAAATACTTACTATTTTATCATACTTTAACACAATTACAGTTATTAAATAAAATGATTAAGCAATTCGATAGTTAATCATAATGTAGTACTTTAAGTTTTCAACACAATTAGCAACACAACACATACATGGTTTTAATGGAAGTCATGACAGTCACAAAATTACAATTTTATTCAATGGAATGACACAAAAGTTTTAGTTAGGGGCTAAGAAAAAACAAATTTATTCAATGGAATGACACAAAAAAATGTTTTTTTTATGTAAAATAGCCCAAAATTGGAATTTTATTCAAATAGCGGTTATAGCGCCGCTATAGCGGTGACCGTAATCGCGGTAAATAGTGGTAAATCGCGGCGCTAATAGCGTCACCGCTATTCTAAACCGAAATTTCGAAATAGCGTTTCCTTACATCCGCTAACCGCTATAGCGCCGTTATAGCACCGCTATTGACTACATAGGCGACGATTGCATTAATGAAAAACACAAACCCTAATCGAGACTTGAAGTTGTTGTAGTCAATTTTGAAGCTTGTGTATGTGTAAGATCTTACACGTAGTTCCTCGTAAACACCTAATATATTATAAACATATATTTACTTCATTTAAGTACTACAAAATTGTTTTTGCCTTCATCCAATGAGTGTCATGTGGATTATCATGGGATTTAAGTCGGGTCGGCCAAAACCAAATTGAGACTCGAGGCAAATACAAAAAAAATGTGGCCCTTAAAATTTAGAAAATTAGTCTTTTATATATTAAAAGGCTAGCTTAGAGCTAGCAAATACAAAGAAAAAAAAAAGAGAATTATCTTTATAAAGTAAAAGATAAAATGTTAGAGAAAACATCTAAACTCTACGGATATCAATAAACTTTAGGCTCTAAAATCTTATTATCAAGGTATTAAAAAAGAATACTAGACATATTACTAGTTTAAGAGGTTTGACAGGTTCTGAATTTTAATATTTGAATTTTTAAGAGGTTGACAGGATCTAAATTTTAATATTTGAATTTTTAAGAGGTTGGAGAGGACAACCGGAGGAAAAAAGGAGGCGGTTGTGTGACATAAAAAGAGAATAGTGCAGAAAAATTATGATACTTTTGGAACATGTTTTTTTTTATTCAAATACAACTCATTCTCTTGAAAATTAAGAGGCTGCTGAGTTTAAAGACAAAAATTAAGAAACTATCAAACATTTTGCATTTGAAAAATAAAAATTCTACCTTTTAATTGAAAATTTAAAAGGCTATCAAACACCCCCTCTTAACCCGGTGATTGAGATCCATATTTTAATTTTTAGACAGAAGGTCCAATGTTTAAACATTGATACGCCAAAACTAATAATAGTGTTTCGTGATTAACCTTCCATGTTGTCCTAAGAACGGGATTAACATGAGCCGCTTTCATATAGGTACTCATATATTCAAGCATGTGTACATAATTTCTAAATTTATCTTTTAGGGGATTAAAACCATACCACCAATTTAATCAAATATAATTATATCTACTAAGATTCAAAGAACGATAAGCTATGAAAAAAATGTGACTAGTAATATCCAGTATAATTCTTTTCAAAGAATTCTCTCCTTTTCTTATTATTGATGGGTGAAAGCCCATTCTTTTTATAACCCATTAATGAAGCTGAAACTAATATAGTAATATACCAGTTTCACCAACAATGTACAAATGAAAGTATAATGAATATAGATTCTCGACAAGTTATCTATATGAAAACACGATTGTAGTAGTATTAGATAACATACACAACCAACTTTTGGCGAAATGCAATTGTAAACACAATGCTTCTCGTCTCAATCTTCCTCACACAAGTTAACACTATCACAGTACCAACAATTCTAATGACAGTTGCTCTCCTATTTTCTGTTGGGAGAAACATGGTAGTTATACTTCAACCATAATTCACCCGGGAGCTTTGGAATTGCCAATCATTTGTATGCAGAATCATCTGTTTCGTGTTTTTAAGATTATTTTGCAGGTTCTACACTTATCATATATACGCCTTCAATATTCCATACAAGGTCAAAAACATCCATAGTATCAACATCCCCAATAACAGTTAGTCTCCCATCATTTGTATCAAAATCAATTGTTCGCACGCCCTTAACCTCAGATAACGCCTTCATCACCTTCTCTCTTTGACTTTCACTGCATAAGTTGACTCCCAGCACAATTTTCTGAAACGTACACTATAGCTATCAAAGAATAATACAAGACAGGTAAAGATTTTTAAAGTAATCTTTCTTCTTGATGATTCACAGTGTACAAACCCATCATACAATGTTCAACAAACATGTGGAGATTGATCACCACTTCATCAAAGAAAAATTGGAAGCTCAAATCTTAGGAGCGTCTTACATTCCTTCATATTTTCATACTGCTGACATTCTCACCATGGATTTTCTCCAGTTTTGGAGTTTTCCACATGTTCAAATTTTCTCTATTATTTTCATTGGGAGGGTTGTAGGTGATGGGTAGAAGTAGCAAAAAAGGGAATTCTATTTGTAAGATTCATCAAATGTCCTTTTCACATCTATAACTTTGGTCCACCCTCTATCTAATAAGCTTTTAAAGTCAAATTACCTTGATCTGGCCACTAACGGCATCAGAAACAAATGCTTTAGACATGAAGCTCCGTAGACTAGGAATCACACCAAATTCCTAAATAAATCACAAGAGCCACAATAGCAAAATTATTTTCTTAATATAAGGCGTTAAAAACAGTTAAGTTTAGAGGAAAACATGTTATAAAGTGAAAGGTTTCTGCTTTTCCGTCATTTTCTCCAAAAAAAAAAAAAAAAAAAAAGCAAATCTACCTGTCATGCCATGTCAGCAAAACAAACGGGGAGGTAACATATTGATTTGGTAAGACTATTTCTTTTTCCAAAGAGTTCTTGTAGTTTGAGAAGATATTGCATTGCAATTTGCAAAGTGAAAGCTGGTCATTTTTTTATGTAATTTTTTGTGTGAAAAGATAAAAAAGTTGATCAGCATTCTTATGTCGTGTTTGTGAATTGAGGAAAAAGCCATACTTGTCTGTGATGAAAAATTAAACTCCTCATATTTATCTTTCAAGCATAATAGTACTGAATCACCTTTACTCTAAGTTTCTTTCGTGGAACCAAGAAAGGTGGAGATGAACTCGATGCAAGGTCCAGAAATTGATCATCAATATCTTCAGACATGTCCTCAGCCTGTTGGTTGTAAAATTGTGTTAATTTTTTTTTTCTTTTATCCACTAAACATAATATTCAATTACCTTTATTGCTTTATCACTAGTTTTAGATGACGTGACAGATTCCATTGTCTCCCCAAGCATGCTTGATGTGAACTCCAAAGTTTCATCTACAAAAGACGATTTTGACATCTCTGCGATCTTGTAAATTTCCTCCTATTTGTTTTTCATAATTAAACACCAAAGCCAGATTAGCAAAACCTTAATATAACCCTAACTATAATCAAATTAGAATCTAGTAACAAACGATTAAACTAGATTATAATAGTTTTATTGATCTTGTCACTTATTTGAACTCGTATTATGACAAAATTAAAAGAAATTTAATTGACTGAACAAAGTTACCGATTGAGGACCATGGATGATTCATCGAACAGTTTTCAATTCTGTAAAAGATGGATTCAAATGCTTAGGTCGACCTGTCTTTCTCCATCCTCGTACCTCTGCAACAATCAATGTGTCATGTCATAAGATGAACTTTCTCTATTCTATTTGCAGCATAAAATGCCTAGAATTAGTTTCATAAGAGAGACTATATATATATATATTAATTATTATATACCTGTATAGTCAATGGTATCGCCAACTAAAATTCTAAACCAACCAGGTGTCAGTCTACCAACCTCCATTAACTCAAAGAAATCACGTCGACAAAGATAGTAAGCTCCTGTGCTTAGTTGAAATCCAGACAAATCTCCTCCAAGAATTTCTATGTTATTTTCCAAAGTTTCATCAGTAGCATAAACAAGGCTCACACCACATTCGTGACCTCTAATCCACTCATCACAGCAATAGAGACATTAACTTTATCTCCAGTGTCCAATAAGTTTCCAATTGGCCAATAGCTTAACCATATACCAACTTTACCAAATTCGGGTTTGCCAAAAACTTTAGGGTTGTACATCAAATCAACACCATTATTCGTAGTAATTTTACAAAACCATGCACAATCGTCACCAAATATTACATATTTGAATGTTACATTAAGTCCTATGAGCTTTCTATTATCAGGACATGAAGGCACGTCAAAGGACAAAGACGATAATTCTGATGCGTACTTTGGTGTCATGTTTGGATCCTTTATGTCTGGGAGAGATGTGCTCATTATATCAAATTCATACAACATCTGTAACACATAAGCATTAGAATTCAGTCGGATATATTTTGTAGGTGTTTTTATGCGAGTGTTTGAGAGAGAAACAACGAACCTGGACACACGAGCTTCTGCCTTTAGTGAGCTCATCATCACCAACAAGGGACACCTCATGATTTTGATATTGTTTTAGCCATTTCATGTGTCCCAAATCGTTTTCTTCAAGTTTGGCTAGAGGCACCAATTTAAAAAAGCCTTCAATTTCAGACAAACTAATACAGCCTTCATAACCAAACTCTTGTAAAGTGAATCGATAAGATTGGAAACTTATTTTCTCCAATGAGTTACAGTAGTATATATACAATTCTGCAAGTGTACTTGGGAGACATAGAAGCCATTTAAGCCTTGAGCACAAACACAAGTCAAGGACCCGAAGATTTTTAAGATGATCATAACAAGGCAGAAACTCAAATAGACTATTGCCTAAGTTCAAGTACTGCAAATTTATTTGAAGACTGAAACTCAGAGGAAAAGAATCAGTACTACATTCAAGATTGCAGTCTTGGAGGAATAACCTGTGTAATGAAAGTGGGAAGGAAAATGCAACACCTCCACTAGAACTAGAAGCTTCTAATCCTACTAAAACATTTGTTTGCTCCCTCTTGCATAGGTTTGCACACCCTGTCATGTTCAGCAGTGTAAGACTTGTTAGGTCTCCAATAGTTTCACAAACATGAACCAGACTGTAACAGTTCCAAAGAATCAAAGTCTCAAGATGAGGGATCATGGACATATTGCGGATTTCAAATAGATTGTGAGAGTCTTTAAGGTTTAGAATCTGTAGTGATTGAAGAACCTGTTGCAAAAGTAACAAAATTGATGTAGTATATACTTAAGATGTAGCATTCAATGTATGCATAAAAACTATTAAGATTTGAAAAAACTAAATGGATAATTGATAAAAAGGAGGATGTGAAATTCCCTACCATGGGAGGTTCAAAGACTTCCAGGTTGCTATAGCTCATATCTATGGCCACCAAGTTTCCCATGAACAATTCGAAGGGTATGGTTCTTAAATGGAATCCAAGCCAGCTCAGCCACCTTAAATCTTCTGAAAAATTCTCGTAAGACCCAATGAGTTGCACAAAATTTAGTTGGAGCAGTTTTAGTTTATCCATCTTTTTAAGTGCATCTGTCTTGAGGTTTGATGACTGAAATTTTAGCATGAAGAGGGATGGTAAGTAAGCTTGAACCTAACGGATGATATTTGTCACCAATATTATTACCTTGAATGCAAAATAGATTATTAATTTCAAGATATAATTACATCTCAAAACCTCAAAATTCAATATTTACTTCTTTTGTTTTACCTTGAATGCAATCTTCTCTGCCCTTAGCATTGGCATGTCCATTGCTAAACCTTCCATTGTTTCTGAACCCTAAAAGGAAAACAAAGATAAACTTTAGAATTTAAATGAAATAGGAAGGTGTGAAAGTAAAATTAGGCTTAAATTAAACATACATATAAGAAGCATCTAATTACCTCTCCTTTGCTTAATATCTTATAAGAATCGCTACTAAGCCAAACTCTACTACGTTTTGTAGGAAATTTTGATGATTCTTGACGAACTATGTGTTTCCCCATCTCTTGAAGCAATCGATGCATCATCAGTTTTTTATTTGGTGAAACAGAAAGAAGACATCTATTGTATAGGGTTTTAATACCAGATAATGCACAATAATCATGCTCCAATATCTTCACCACATAATCCTCATCTTTCCCAACAAAGAAACAAGCAATATGCAAAAACAACTCTTTCTCTAGGATAGATGGCAATGACTCGTAGCTTGTTATCAGTACACTTTGAATCCGAGAATCAAAATCTTTATCCAAAAAATTCAATCGACTTTTCCAATATAAGATGGTATTGTCATCGGATAGAGAAGATGCCAACATTACAAGAGCTAAAGGATTTCCTTCACAATATCTTACTGCTTGTAATGCAAGCTCCTCAAAACCTCCCATGGGAACCTTAGAACCAAATGCATGACGACTTAAAAGCTCTAAAGATTCATCATCATCTAATAATTTCATTTTATAAACTTGACACCTCCTATACGGAAGCTTAAACCAATTATCTGTATTTTCCGTGGTTGTTGTTATTATAATCTTGCTTTGTGTATTAATTTTCCCGGATCCAAGTAAAGCGATTAACTCACTACGTCTAGCAATGTCATCAAGAACAATAAGTGTCTTTTTTGTTTGCAAGGCCTCCTCAATCTTACATGTACCTTGAGAAACACCAGGTATTTTTCTCTTCTTGCCACCTAAAATATCGTTTAGAAGTTGTTCTTGTAGTTGAAGCAAATCATCGGATTCTTTACATCTGCGACTAATGTCTTCAACAAAACTCATGCTTTCAAAATTCTTCCAATTTGAATCATAAATATACTTGGCCAATGTTGTCTTGCCACTTCCACCCATGCCACAAATTGCTAAAAATTCAGCATTGGATCGATTTAACCAGGAATTGATATCTTCATATCGAGTGGCTAACCCTGTTAGATTGAGTGGAAGATGAACTTCTTTTCGATCCAGTTTATTGTAAATGGTGTCAACGATTTCCTTTATAAACTCTGTTTCAGGCCTGGAACAACATGAGGGAAATGAACAAGTTAATGGGATGATATTTGGAGATTCTTTGATCAGTACTTAACTTTGAAAACGTAGTGTGCTACTAAAATATGTTTAGATCGGATTACCATATTTGGTGTAAAGTTACTCCAACCCAAACACCATTTCTTACACCAAATATGTGTTATACTCTTCATTAACACCAAAGTTTCAAGCGTCACGTGTGCAATTTTGGTCCTTCAAGTTTGATTTTATACATTTCTAGTTTATTTTAACTGTTTCAAGTTAGAGTTTATATATTTTTAGTAAATTTAATTGTATAGTCATATTTCAATAATGACTAATTTACAGGAAGAGACATACCCGGACAGAACCATGCCGGCCAAATCAGCAACCTCTGTAAGAGCTCTTTTCCACAAGTTCACGTTGTGATCTGTCCACCTTTGATTGCCTTTGACTTGGATTGCAAAAGTTTTATTCTGTTTTCTCACATCAGAAGGATCAACATGATAAAAAACAGGTAGAACAAAATGATTACACTCTTTCCTTTGCTTCAGAATCGACAATAGCTCATCAAGGCACCAAGTGGAAGTGGCATAGTTTGGTGACAATACAACTATTGAAGCCCTAGATTCTTTAACTGCTCTCCCGATCTCTGGATTCAGTTTTTCACCTCTGTCAATTTCTTCGTTATCCCTAAAAGTATTAATTCCTGCTCTGTTTAATGCATGGTAAAGATGATCCGTAAAAGAATCACGAGTATCTTCGCCTCTAAAACTTAGAAAAACATCATAGCTGGCATGAGGACTAGTAGAAGCCATACTACTGGAGGAAGAACTGGAAGCCATTGAAATTGGATCTGTGAGGATGGAAAATGAAGTCGTCGTCGTCGTCGTCCCCAATAGTACAACCCAATCAAGTGGGTGTGGTCAAAACGATTCCCCACCTGCCGCTCAAAAACATTTAAAACAAAGATAAAACAAAACAAATATCTAAAATAGAAATCAACAGATAGATAGAAGGGTAAATTATAGATTTGACCTATGTGCATTGTTGTTTTGAATATGGTTTAAAAATGAACATTGAAGTTTTTTTTTTTTTTTTTTTCTTTTTCTTAATTTTATTTTTAACTATTATAAATACAAATACTAATATGTCCCAACAGTTGGAGCAAGAGAAGGATGAGTGCTCAAATTGTATCCGAAGTCAATTGGCATGGAAGACCTATGGTGAATATGTCCACATATTGGAAGGTCGAAGGGATGTGTAAACCCTGAATGTGTCCGATAGCTACCTTTTCAACGGCAAAGTGATCAATGTCTATTTTGATATGATTCGTTCATTGGTGTTACACATGATTGCCTGACAACAGTCAACAAGTATGTTATCACAATACACAAGTATAGATTGATAGATTGGTGTATGTAGCTCAAGAAGAAGATTTTATAGCAAAATGATTCAACAACGACATTGGCAACTCCATGGTACTCTGTTTTGGCATTGGAATATGATGTAGTCGGGGGCATTTGAGGGACTAGGAGATCAAGTTTTTGCCTAGGAAAACATACTAACCGGAAGTAGATTGACAGGTGTTCGGGCACCCGCCTAATTGGCATCGGTGTATGCAATAAATTAGAATAGTTTAGATGGGTAAAAATATAGTTAGAGATCAAGAGTGCCTTTAAAGTATCGAATGATATGCTTGGTAGGGCTATAAACGAACTGAACGAACACGAACAAGGGTTTGTTCATGTTCGTTTGTTTAAGTTATTTGAACAAACGAACGAACACGAACAGATAACCAACAAGTTTTCTTGTTTATGTTCATGAACAAATTACTTTGTTTATGTCCGTTTAAGGTATTGAGAGCACTAATGAGATTGTGGTAAGTAGACGGATGGCCATATGGTTGTCGGAAGTGGCACTTAAAATAACAACTTAGAATTGATGTATATCAGGGTTGCTTTGGGTTTTACAGTGTTCCATGTTTGCTTGTTTAGAATGGTTTCGACATATATTTGTTGAGATAGAAACATGTTGTGAGATGTGCGTTTGATCGAGATGTAACAACGTAAAATAGAAGACATCAGCTTGGGCTCCTAATGAATTTAAGAGTATCATTGAGCTTTTGGAACTTTGAACCCATGAGTTGTTTACACCAAAAAAATAATCTAAGCCCAACTATTATTAAAAATGAAGATTTAAATACAAGGTTTTAAGAATTTTAATATTATCTTAGCTTTAAAGATAAATACATTTTTGGTATCTAAATACCATTTTTGGATTTATTAAAAAAAGGTTTTCATTTAAATAAAAAAAATTATTTTTGTCTAAACCTCGTCCATTTTCACTATGGGACATAAATCGAAGATATTTGCTAACCCTAGTTTGAAATTGATGAATGAGAATTGGAAATTAGTTGATACATGTTAAAATTGGTATTAGATTGATATTATTTACATCATAGAAAGTTCAAATGTTTCATGGTGATTGATTGCACATATGGAATTGTTAAAGAGAACCTAAGAGTGACTTTTTACTTTGGTTAAAATTGTGTATGTGATGAAACTTGCATGAGTATGCTTTAAAATTTAAAAAGATAACGTAATTATGTTATTAGTAAGTAGTTATGTAATGATATGTTGAATTATGCTAGTACTAGACAAATTAAGATAATTTTGCAAGGAATGACCAACAATTTGGTAAAGAGAAAAGTGTTATTACTTATTAAATATAAGTGTAAGTATGGAGTATAGTCAAAATGTATGCAATGTTGAAATTGAAGTTAGCTAATAAAAGATGAATTGTAGCTTGAATGCAATAGATAATGGAATGTTGCTTATTAGTATAAGTTATATGCAAAGAAAGAGTATAATTGGTAAATATCCAAATAAGATGTTATTCTTGAAATATGAAGAACACTTGAACGGGTAACAACATGAAATGAAAGTGGTAACAACATGCGCTGTAAAATGAAAGTGGAAGTAATCACTTGAAAATACTGAAAGAATGCTTGGAAATTGTTTTTTTATAAGAAATTATAAAAAAAAAAGGTAAAGTCATTTTAGACATAAAAGTGAAAGAGTTGGAATTGACCTAAAACTTGAATACGTTGATGTTTTATTATGTAAACATGCAATAATTAATGTGATATGAAGGCTGTACGAGAAAAGTGACAAAACACTTAAAGTTTAAAAATGACCAAATTAGACGTAAGCAAACTAAAAATGTCTTTACAAAATCTTATAATTTTAGTACTTATGAATGCATATGAGTATGTAATGAAGTTGTCATAATATCTATATAATATTGGAAGTATTTTGGCAACAAAACATGTGAAAATGTATGATTCAAAATAGTTTATAGTCTTGAAAACTTTAAATGGTCAAAATGGGAAAGATGGTATTTCGGATCATAATGTGATAAGTAAAGGTCTTGAGCTTCAAAGGAAGAGGTTAGAACCTATAAGATATTGATATTGTTGTTTAAGTGATTAAAGTCCTCGATTTGAGCTTTGAAGCAAATGGTAAAATGGGAAAGGTGGTATTCCGGGCTTCTTGCATGAATTAATGATTTTAGTTTGTATGGAGTATAGCCAAAATGTATGCAATGTTGAAATTGAAGTTAGCTAATAAAAGATGAATTCTATCTTGAATGTAATAGACAATGGAATGTTGCTTATTAGTATAAGTTATATGCAAAGAAAGAGTATAACTGGTAAATATCCAAATAAGATGTTATTCTTGAAATATGAAGAACACTTGAACGGGTAACAACATGAAATGAAAGTGGTAACAACATGCGCTGTAAAATGAAAGTGGAAGTAATCACTTGAAAATACTGAAAGAATGCTTGGAAATTGTTTTTTTATAAGAAATTATAAAAAAAAAAGGTAAAGTCATTTTAGACATAAAAGTGAAAGAGTTGGAATTGACCTAAAACTTGAATACGTTGATGTTTTATTATGTAAACATGCAATAATTAATGTGATATGAAGGCTGTACGAGAAAAGTGACAAAACACTTAAAGTTTAAAAATGACCAAATTAGACGTAAGCAAACTAAAAATGTCTTTACAAAATCTTATAATTTTAGTACTTATGAATGCATATGAGTATGTAATGAAGTTGTCATAATATCTATATAATATTGGAAGTATTTTGGCAACAAAACATGTGAAAATGTATTATTCAAAATAGTTTATAGTCTTGAAAACTTTAACGGGTCAAAATGGGAAAGATGGTATTTCGGATCATAATGTGATCAAGTAAAGGTCTTGAGCTTCAAAGGAAGAGGTTAGAACCTATAAGTTATTGATATTGTTGTTTAAGTGATTAAAGCCCTCGATTTGTGCTTTGAAGCAAATGGTAAAATAGGAAAGGTGGTGTTCCGGGCTTCTTGCATGAATTAATGATTTTAGTTTGATATGTTTTTAGTCAAAAGTAATTAGATAGAATTGTGGACTCGTCAATACCTTCGTGTGCATATACACATCGCCGAAAACAGAATTGAAACGAAGAAGTTATGATTGTTTGAAGTTGTAATGGATTTAGGTGAAAACTCGTCTTCACGGAGTGGAGAGTTGTTTTACATGGCGTGGTAATCGTCACAGAGTAGAGAATTGTATTCCACGGCGTGGTAATCCCCACAGACCGGAGAACTATCTTCTACGGAGTGGACGCTAGGCAGGCCCAAACCCATGAATTTTTAGGGTTTTCAGCGTATTTAAATGTAAGGATTCATATTTTAGGGGATTTTCTCAGCCTCCATCACATATAGAACTCCTTGAGAGCAACCCTAGCCTCCTTCCTCACGATTTGAGCTCCTCCTCTTTCCTTGAACCTCTTTTGGTTGCTTTTCGTGATGATTTTATGAAGCTTGAAGATCAAGATAGTTCTTTTGATTGCAAGTAAGGTTCTTTCAAGTTTGGATCTATCAAAGTCACTTTATTTCTGGACTATTATGAGTATAAAGTTCATATCTTGCTCTTTAGCTCTTTAGATCTTGTCATTTGTGGTTTTTGACACTTTTGGTCCATTTTATGGGTGAGTTTGGAGTTGAGTGAACTTCAACACGAAACATCCCAAAAATTATAAGGTAAAATTTTCATTTTTAGTTCAACCATAACATCATTTAACTATTTAAATCATTCAAAAGTAATCAGAGTAAATAGTTATCAGAGTACAATTCCCAAAATCATAAAGTATGGAAACATGGGTGGATGTGTTGCGATCAAGGCAGGCTCTTCCCTCGCAAATCGGGAGTACCTGAAGTCATAACCATCAAACCTTAAGCACAAAGCTTAGTGAGTTCCCAAAAATACCCCATACCACATATATCATGCATACACATATACCTCGGACCCCGCCCGACATCGGGTCCTGCCCGGTACATTCATCAGGCCCCGCCTGCCATCGGGCCCTGCCCGGCTTACATACAAAACTAGACCTCACATGTAAGAATCACAGAGACAACTAGCACCATACATAACATACAATGGCCTTGCCTGACAATCGTCAAACCCCGCCCGGAATATATCTATCAATAACATGTGATGGGCCCTACCCAACACACCCATCAGGCCCCGCCCAGTATACATACAAACACATACAAAACATGTGAGAGTCATAAAGACAACTAGCATACTATAACATAATACAATGGGCCGACATTGGTGTCTTCGACCTGCAAATACAATGACAGCTAACATACTAACACACTCATCATACCCCGCCCGATATACATACAGTACATACCATACATACAATAGTCACAAAGACAACTAACATATCATCTCCTAGTGGACCGGCATTGGTGCCTTCGACCCACGGGTACAGTGATGAGACTCACCTCGAACTGTTGAATATCAGATAAAAGCTCGGATTACTGATCCGGAAAAATCCTCGCGCTAATCAATCAAACAAAACCCCAATTAATAATTGGGCAATAAT